ATCTATCTATCTATCTATCTATCTATCTATCTATCTATAAAAATGTGCTTTTACCTTCATTTCTTAAATGTTTCACTGTAGTGTACATAGTTGTAGTTTTCAATTAACTGTGTATTGGATTATTATGATTCTCCTGCCTTGTTATATTTTAAGTTTTCATTTCGTATTTGAATGAGATTTGTGTTTTGAATATGCCATAGACAGCAAGTCAGCAAAAACTAATTTGCTGCAGATTGTGTAGGCAGGTTGTACATGTTCTGTTTGACTGCACAGATACTCAAATAACCACAAATATTCAACAAAACAAATGAACCCCGTTAATTTAACATTGCCATATGTTTCATTATATGGTATTACATCATGCTATAATATATTATATCATACATTAGAGTAACACACTGTCCTATGACAAAGCGTTCCACACGAGGGAGTATGATACGTGGTTAAGGTGAATCTATTTAATCCCCTCGTCAGATGATGCTGTGGGAGTTGCGCATGAGCACAGGCATCACACTTCTGAACAAGATGGTGTCTCCATTCCATTTCCGCTTTGTCGCATACCAGTACGAAACCGACAGTAGCCAAAAGGGTGGAGTGCCCAGGTTCGACAAGATACTGGGCATGTTGAGTTCAAATAGTTTTGGGACGAATTCGAATATCATCAATGATATCCTATGTAGTACATAAAACTACGCAATCAGGACCAAGGCTTTGTCAAAACATTTTATTCCTCAACCCATACCAGTTAGAGCGAAGTGCTTGAAGTGGAGGGAACTATCTGCTCTTTGACTGAATGTTACATCTTTGATAATGACAGATTTTTTTGCTGCTGCTTGCGTAACCTCTAGCGTAGCTGACGCAGCCCCACCTTCCTTCAATCTCCTCCCTTTGTGCAGTTGACAAGCTCTTTCTCGGCTAGGACTGGAACACACTGAGGTACGTTTTGTAACTTATGCATTACTACAACACAGCTAAGTAGTTGTCTCCCTCACAGTTCTCTCATAATCATTTGTGAGTGAAATGTCACCCTGGAGTCTAAAGCTGTCCGTCAGTTGAATCGTTATAATCGAAGCGGGTTACAAGTCGAGGTGTTAGCACCGATGCTAGGCCTGCTGCTTTTATAAGCCATCTGCTGCTAGCTTGGCAGCTAAAGTCTTGCGGTGCGGTCATTTGAATGGAAAAGTTTAAAGAAGTTGTGCGTGCTCCTTGCTATTAGGAAGTTCTCCATCTATTGGCATTTGCTCTCCTGAGACATTGCGCCCGTGTAGTTTTTCGTGCTGCAACATTTTCCTCGCCAGAAATATCCCTTCCAGTTGCCCACCACCTTGATAGCGACCTGATGCTAATTGGTTAGCATGCGAGGACAGAAGGATGCTGCGTTCCTCACCTACGTGCCTGTGCCAGTATGTCCGTGCTTTTACTCTTTACAGGAACACTAGACATTTGGTGGGGGGCTACATCTTTTTTTTCAATACGGGTTATATTCTCACACCCCTTGTGAAAAGTGAAAAGTAAAATGGCAGCGAGAAGTCAGAGATGAAGATGCTAAGTGCAGGATTTCCCAACTGTCGCCATATTAACGGTCTTATTTCAAAGTAATTCGTTACATGGAAATATTTTACCCTCACTCAAGTCGACGAAGTTTGATATAGGATACCTGGGTCATTTTAATTTGAAAACACACGCGACTTTGACCCATTCACACGTCCTTTACGCCCTCTGACATTTATCCGTGGAGCTATGGTGGACGGGCCTGTGGGGCTTAACGAGCAGGTCGTTTAGTTGGGGTAGCATGGACTGTAGACACAAAATATTAATCTATTTAGTGCTAGTATTTCCTTGTCTAAGTCAAGGTGACTGCTTTAAGGAGCTGACTCAAGGTGTCCCAGATGACTTTGTCTTCCATCCCTCATATACAAAACTTCATTAGTAAAAGTAGTTTAATTTTGCCCTTTTAAAGTGTTTTTTCTATTTGACATTTCTCACGTTACTCCTACCCAATAATTGTTTGAACCTCTAGGATGCTAGATGACTCTCTGCAGTTGTTAGATGATATTTGGAGGACATTTTTATTTATTTATGTGAGAGCAAGTTAGGAATCGAGAGGGAGAAAACACTTGTTCAGGCTGTAAAAGTGGCATCTGTCATTACTTTTTAAGTGCGAGAAGCTATTGAGGTTGATAACTTGCTTCAAGCCTGCAAAATGGGGTCTGTTTTAAAGTTTAAGCCTTCATCTTTTTGATTATTGAGCAAGGATCTCAAAACCATATACATCCATAAGAAGGTCTTCACTGATTAGTCATTTTGTGCAATATAAGACTTTGGGAAATGGTAACAGTGGGTTTATTTAAGAAGCTGGCTATTCATCCTCTAACCTGTTGAAATCCAGTTGTTATCTACTACCAATATTAGAATTTATACTATCAACACCCCTGCCCATAAGATACTTCTGTATCTTGCTAACTGCTGTGCTGTTCAGAATGGAACATGCTCGAATGGTGAAATGTCTTGCACAACTGGGTATTCATAAACATGAAGGACAAAGGCTTGCTCAGATACATGCGGACAGCCACTCGGAGGTTCAGCAAACAGTCTGCGCTGCACTCTGTGGCCCCCGTTGTTCTCCTGAACGTGGCCACCTCCACACCGAGACGTCATTTGATGTTTGCAATGCAGTGATCTTGAATATAGCCATTGTCATTTGTCTGTTATATGAAGTGGTTTAAAGGCCTAAAACATCCATAATGTACTGTGGGGAAAGACATTCTTTCATTTGAAATGGACTGCTGACAGGTTGGTTGGACGTTATAGTATCCCCCCGTGCTTGCTGTGTTCTGCTGCTCCACCAAGCGCTCAATTTACTAAAGTTTTAATATAAAAATAACTTCAGTTTTTTGTCTATTCAGAAAATGGCTGTACCTCCAACCTATGTTGACCTTGGGAAGTCTGCCAGGGATGTTTTCACAAAGGGATACGGTAAGGACAAAGTCGCTAATGATTGAGAATGCTTTTGCATCAGAATTATAAAGAGTAAAATGGTTTGATTCGAAATTAAACACTATGATAATGTGCAGCCAATCATGAGTGTATGTGGAATACCTGTGTTTCTAGCTGTTACACTAAGGAAAAATGCACAATTTTTTAAGGTTTTGCTCATGTTCCTGCTTTTATTTTATGCATCACCAGTTGACACAAAAATATTTGTGATCTGACCCACATTTCAAATACTTGAATAGCTGCAAAACACATGTGACTGTTATTCAAAACTGATGCAGTGGAAGACCAAAAACAGAAAATGGGGCATTTCTATTCCTGACCAGCTTTCATTCCCATGTGTGTATTGATTTCTGTATTTACAATGTTAACCAAAATTGTGGCGTTAAATTTAATTCTTTTACAGCCTATGTCTTGGGTTTGCAGATCATACCTCTTAGGTGTGGATAATTTGAGGAAACTGAATGTTTTCATTTCTGCAGCATGTTTAGATGGAGCAGAGATGTGCAGATGGTTTCACATCCTTGGAACATGTCAGGAAAAATTCAGTGCGAGTCCTCATTGATAATAAAAGCATGTGGTTGCTGGTGAAGTTTTATTCTGGGTGGCAGCTGTGAGTTAATGACACGTCAGATTGTGTTTTCTCTCTAACATAGTGGCAGATGTACTCAGCCAGATGTGCTCTCAGGCTCTAGAATATGGGAAAAGTTGATCTGACACATCTGTGCTGTGCAGGTTTATCAAATAAAAAAAAAATAAAAAAGTGGTGACAGTGCTTGAAACGTTTAATGCGTTGTGCGCATCTCCCTGACTTTAAAGGTAAAAGCAGGTGTAACACCAGGTCAGAAGGGGATCGTGAATCAGTGGAAAAACAGCAGGTTCACAGGCTCACGAGTTGTCAGAACAACCTTGTTGCCATTTTTCATTACTGACAGCAGTGCTTTATCACGGGCTCTCTCTATTAGATCAGCCTACTCTGATGGATATTTCACACATGCTGATCAATGGATTCACTCAATGAGTTTGGACATATAAAAGGGACTTTTTCAATGTCTATCGATGGAAATGATTGCCTGCTTTGTATTGGCAGTGGTTAGCATTACACTTGCAGGGTGATTGGATTGACATTCACACACTGTTCTGACTCTCCCTTTCCCTCGCTCCGTTTCAGGCTTCGGGCTCATCAAGCTGGACTTGAAGACAAAGTCTGAGAATGGACTTGTAAGTTGTCATCAGATTTTCAGTGCGGCTAGACCATACTCCAGCAGTCCTGTTGTAGCTTCAGAAAATCTTAGCTGTCTGTGAAGTGTAGTGACTCTCAGAAACTGCCAAACACTTTGACTTCTGATCAGATAAGAAAATAGTCTTATACAGTCCTATTCCTATTGATGTATTCCTATTATGTAATTTCCTTACTGTAAATGCACCGTGAATATGTAAGATTAATTATTTTTTCTACAACAGCCCACATATTTCTGAAGTCCTTTTGAAAACAAACAGTGCAGCTGAGGACTATTTTATCACCAACTTTTAAAAAGAGTATTCAAGCGTATTTTATTGGCTAATCTATATTTAAGTCCGACCTTGCCTGATGCTATCGCCTGCAGGAGTTCACCAGCACAGGATCTGCCAACACTGAAACCAGCAAAGTTGCTGGATCCTTGGAAACTAAATACAAGTGGGCGGAGCACGGATTGACCTTCACAGAGAAGTGGAACACCGACAACACTCTGGGGACCGAGATCACCGTCGAGGACCAGGTGAAGTGACGACGGGGATAAAACTGAACTTGTGTTCTGGGTACATGCGACTCGGGCCGCTTTTCGCAGAGGAAATAAGCAGTTATTCGTAAAATAAATCGAAAAAAGTTTTAGGTTGATTTGTAATTATATGATGAAAATGTACTATATCGTTTGACGATGATATGTATTGTACTGTTGTGATGTTTCCTTTTCTCTGCGGTCTGCGTTGTCAATTCATCCTCTGATGTTTCCACAGCTGGCCAAGGGACTCAAGCTCACATTTGATTCCTCCTTCTCTCCAAATACTGGGTAAATGCCAAACGCTGATACACTCTGCATTTCTTTCAGTTTCTAGCCACAGGGCTTTAGGCTTTATTTCCATGCCGTGGGGGTGATATTAATTACCTTGTTGTTTACCTCCGTCCTCTCACAACATCCTGCCAGCAAGAAAGGCGGAAAGATCAAGACGGGCTACAAGTGTGAACACATAAACCTGGGCTGCGATGTGAACTACGACATCAACGGCACAGCCATCCACGGCGCCGGCGTGGTGGGCTACGAGGGCTGGCTCGCCGGCTACCAGATGACCTTTGAGGCCGGCAGGAACAAGATCACTCAGAGCAATTTTGCCGTTGGATACAAGACCGATGAGTTCCAGCTCCACACAAATGTGTAAGATGACACGGTATAGAAATAAGGATGAATTAAAAACATGCGGCATGCTACCTTTACCATACACGTATGATATCCTGATAAAGTTACCTTAAAAATATCTTGATATTAGGTCAGTGTTTCTGCCCTGTGACAATCTTATCACAGTTTGAGCTTTTCTGCCAGGCGTCATTGAGTTATTTATAGGTGATGGGATTTACTCTATAAGTGAAAAGGTGTGGTTTGGCAAGCTCCAGATCTGGGCAGCGTCAGACAGGCAGCAGGAGGGACAGACAGGCCGCCGTCTTAGTCTAGTTCCTACTGTGACCCCCTGGACAGGCCTGTCTGTTCCAGTTTGTAGCTGAAGCAGCCCTGTGAGATCAGACCTGGGGTCATGTTGGCTTTGCTTCAACGTGAGATAAACAGACATGTGAGATTCCCATCAGAATTCTGAGTGTACTCCTTAAAAGTCAAAGCAGTTTGGATCCCCCTTGAGGGAATATTGTTTTGCAATTTACTTGTGTGTTTCCTCAGAAATGATGGCACCGAGTTCGGTGGCTCCATCTACCAGAAGGTCAATGACAAGCTGGAGACGGCTGTCAACCTGGCCTGGACAGCCGGGAACAGCAACACCCGCTTTGGCATCGCCGCCAAGTATCAGATTGATCCAGATGCATCTTTCTCTGTAAGTAGCCTGATTTTGACTAAATATTTGGCTGTAAAGGCGCCTGAGCTAACACTTCTTAAGGTCAAAATTAGCCCCGGATCTAAATGGTTTCAGTTGTTTTGGTCCATTACGTAACAGCTCAACTGGAAGAAACCCAATTCTAACAAGCTGGAGCACTGGTAGTTGTAATCTTTCTTTCACATTTTGAACTCCTCTCGTTTTCTAAGGAACACCCTGACCAGCTGACCAACTTGGCAAAATGGCTGTGCATCTTAGTATGGTAGCGTTACATTTAAATGGGACAAGGAGAAAACCCGCTTTAGTTTAAATAGTCCACAAGAGAGACAAGTGCCTACGTGCATCTTGTCTGTCTGAGAAAGATCTGAGCTAACTTGGTCCCATCCATCACATTTAGTCCTTAAATCCCACCTGCAGCAGAGCCAATTAGTGTGAATGGTTGCTGCGGTAGCAAGTTCGATCCACATGTATTAAGACACAGGTTTTGTTATTTTAGATGTCACAGTGGAATGCGGAATATTGGCTTAGTGGTAGTCTTAATTAAAAACTTGGCTCAAAACATAAACCTACAGGCACTTGAGTTGGCGTGGGTCCAATTAGACAGTATTTGTGTATTTTACCATTCTAACTTTCCTGGTTGATTTAAAGATTTCCATGATTCCCTAACAGGCCAAGGTGAACAACTCCAGCCTTGTGGGTCTTGGCTATACTCAGACACTGAAGCCAGGTGAGTGTTCTTATGACAAAAAAAAAAAACATCTCCAAAATTCACACAGAAAAGGTTATTTAAGATGCGTTGTGTTCAGGATCTTAAGTGAGCCAACACGCTAACTTTTCCGCAAACATCTGTTTCGCAGGCATCAAGCTGACACTTTCTGCTCTCCTCGATGGCAAAAACATCAACGCTGGCGGCCATAAGCTTGGCCTTGGTCTTGAGTTCCAAGCGTAAAGGGAAGAAACGGACGCCCTTCCAGTCCTACCAGCACACCCATTCCCTCACTGAAAAATGAAAAGAATCTAAAGCCTCTGTTGATTACCCCCCCTCCCCCCAATCACAAACCCGTCTACCCCCTTGACATGTTACAGGTGGAAGCAAGGCAGCGTAAAGGTCAAATTATTCTTGCAATGATGTCCCTTTTTGTTTTTTTTAAGCCACCAAAGGGAATTTAACATATTTGAAGTCCGAGAGCCCAGTTTAGAACAAAACTGCGTCATGAAATGGGAAGTTTGATGCTAAGTTATGTGGCTTGCAAGGGAAAAGTAGCCTTGAGTGCATTCGTGTTGGCCTCACTTTTTCTTTTCAATACACAATGCTTTAATTAGTGTCTCTCTACATACCATTGCAGTTCAAAGGGAAAGTCTAAACCAGATCAGCCCAAAATACAGAAAAGGGCTCAAATCTGTTACCAGACAGTTGTGTAGTTACTCCACCAGATGGTACTGTTGCCTAGCTATAGTAAGCACTCCTCACTCGGTAAGTGTAGTGGTGAACCAAGTTTTATTCAGAACACCTCTGCACTGAGCTCCTGTGTCTGTGTTGACATATTATACACTGAGAAGGGTTAGTTGTCCCAGATGTAAGCAGCTGTCAGTAGCTCTATGAGACACTACAACCCAATGTGTGCATTCTGTGTTTTTGTCTCTCTTGTCTTTTGTGTCCGTGCATTCGATGTGATTCATGTTTTTTTTGTTACACATAGTAAAGAAAGAATATTATTTTATTGAGGGTCTTGCATAGCTAAATCCACTAGAGAAGTCTTAGGAAGGCAAATATGCGTCACTCCTCCTCAGTCAGGGAAAATAACTAGGAAATCTGATGCCGAACATCTGATGATCAAAAGTTTGTGCTCTTTAGGAGGAGGATTATGAGGGGAAAAAAACATTTCAGGAGATGGTTGTCTTCCACAACTGGTTATGGGAATCATGCTTATTTTACTTGACAGTTCTGTCATTCCCTGAACAAAAATAAAGAACATCATCAACCATTTGCGTTCCGTCTTGTGTACTTTTTTAATAATTTTTTGTTGCATATTATCATTCAACATTTCCAGCCTGTGTCTGTAGCGTATTTCCATTATACAGTCTTTACTGACAGCATTCACATAGACATAAAACTATTTAAAAAGCTTTTTATTTAAAACATTTTTTTTGGTTGACTGGACTTTTTTCGGCCTACAGAGAACACTGACAAGTGATTACTTTGATCAGTAAAAAGGGAAAAACTGTTTTTTCACGGGTAACTGGCAAAGAACAGATGTGTCACTTCAATCACACAACAATTTGTCCCTAAATATCTGTTACATTTTCTCTTACGTCCCAGCGGACATCTCTGGTTTTGGCATAAATAACTATTTCATGACTGAACTGTCTGTAGGAGCCTCATCTTACTGAGCCTCTGAAAACATGAAAAGATCCCCGTGTGACAGACAACATCTTTAAGGTATATTTTTAATACAGTAACTTTACACGTCTTGGAAATTATAAAGACTGATTAGATTTTTTGGGGGTGTTGAACAAATTAAAACCCATATTCACAAGGCTTTAAGCCTTGCTTCACAACAATGCAGATGACCTATTGTACCTCTACAAAACAGATTAATACCTTCTGTTTTTTAATTGTTTCTACAGATGTTGTAAAGGCACACACTTCTGTAGGCTGATTTAAAGTTGAATACATCTACGCTTATTTAGGTATTTTTTTGTGTGATACGTGGGTTTTTGGAAACCCATGTCATGTCATGTGGGGAGAGATGTTAGTGTCTGGATTCATCATGTATGTCCAGTTGGATACAGGTACAAAACTCAAAGGTAATGAAATTCTGATGCAAAAAAAGGGATGGTTTCGTACATACGATGTCAATAGTTTGGATTTTTTAAATAAATATGAAGACATTTCTACCCCTGTTCTGTTTTTCATTGCTCTGCAATGTCTGTCTACAGTCATACACATGATACATAGATGTAAAAGATGAAAAATATGTTTCATTGTCTACTACAGCTAGGATATGACAACACACACAGCCAATGTGTGTCTTTTTTATATTTGTAGAGTGGCCTTTTTTAAGCAAGTGATAGGTTGCTAGCATGATATACCCTATGAAATAAAAGTCAGAAGAACTGGGATAACTTATTTACATGCAACATTTTGGTTGTAATAAATTGACAGTAAATAGTTTTTCTTTAATTTTGGTTAAATAGTTTGTGTGTTCCACTTTGGCAGTGGCAAGGACTACATATTCAACAATCCATACACGGGTCGCACCTTGGTCAGCCTAAGACAAACGTTGGTAGTTTCCTTCTTTTCCTGCCATTGTACGTGATGCTACTGTAGTGGCAGACATTATCCAACCGAGAGTGCATGCTGACATTACCTTGTAAACTGATGTCCAAGGAGTTTATAGGGTGACTAGTCGATTGAATTATACTCAGACGCCCACGTTTTGCAGGTCTAGTCGACCTGCGCTCTAAACCACGCCCCCTTAGGTCACATGTCACACAACCACGCCCCTCCGCCTTTTTTTCCCCACACTCTAAACTACGCCGCCCACAGTCACGTATCAACATGGCGACGTGCGGAAGTACGGGGCAAAGCAAGAGACCTATTTATACTTTTTGTTTGGTTGTGTTCATTCAGCTGTTGTTCAATGGGTGCTTTTCAGCTCCACTCAACGAGACTACAAAAGGTAAGACAGTTGTGTGAGCTATCCGACAAGGTGCCGGCGAGCTTTCAACTTACCAGCACGGGGCTAACGAGTTAGCTAGTTTACGCTCGCGGGACCGTCGCGAGTATGCTAGCGCAGATGGTGTCAGGAGAAACGGGAGCAATGACAGGTTCTCCCTGGTACAGATTTGTTTAGAACAGCGTGTGTGCAGATTGTTTCTTATCAGTGGATGCTCGTTTAAATCCGTAAAGCAGCACGCTATATAAAGTGTTCTGGAGGATGAATAATGTGACCGAACTACAGTCAAGACAATGTTGAAGTAGGAACGTCACCGATGGTCCTCTGGAAATACTATTTTAGTATATCTCCAATTTAAACTGTACATACAGGACATTGTAAAATATAAACAGACTTGATATGACTTTTTGACTTCAGGATCTGACTATGTGAGTTAAGTTTACATTGTTTATTATTATTATGATTTTTTTTAAGGTTATAGAGGCCCTTCAGAGGCCGGGCTCTCGAGGAGCTGAGATTTGTTGACGTCCGATTAGGTGTCAGTGTCCAGATGAAACTGGCTTTTTGTCTGCGCACTTAATGGACCTGCTGTTAGTAAATCATTAAAGAAAATATCCAAACTTCACTGCAATTGAAGGGTGTCCACAGTGGTGGCTGTTGAGTTGCTATCACCCAATTGCTGGCTGAGTGATTTCATGAAATCTGAATTAAGTTTCTAAGACTTTACAACTACAATTCTATAAAGTCTAAATGTTTGTATTCATTTATGTATGTATATATATCTATATACGTGCGTTTGTGTGTTTAACATGTATAACATAACAGTTATATTGTTTAATTTTTACCTAATTTTTTACTTCATTCTTGTCTAAATAAATTATCTTTAGATGACCCAAATTCTTGATGGCCACTTTGCTCACATGCTGGTTCCACTATTAGCCGTAACGATTGCTGCCACAAAAGGACTCCTGTTCAGTGATTATTTATGCTGGCTAAAGCCAGGGCTTATGAATAGACCCTTTCTTTGATTGGAGATGGCTTCCCTTTTCATTCGAGTCCCTCGTGGTACTCCTCCTGTTCCGTCCTAGGCAACGCCTCTGAGTCCCAGAGGGTGAAATGGGACACTTGTTAGTTAAATGCTGTCATTCAGGCAGTGAGGCTGGAAAAAAATCTTATTTTCGATGCGGTGTCATCTGCAAGCTGATTAGTTGGTGTCTGTCTTTTAAATGCTGCTGGAAGAGGCACATAAAGAAGAACCTCATAAGATAATCTGTTTCTGCATAGTCTTTGTGCCGTGATTTTTATAGTTGATGTTATTTTTTACTAAAAATGACGTGCATACAAGGATTACATTTTGATCAAAGTGGCTAGCAAAGTGCCCCCTTTGCCAAAAAAAAACCTATTAGTTGTTTTTGTCATCCACTATGTCTAACATATTGTGGTTTTCTTAAACATTAGGGACGGAGAACGTAACCCAGAGTTTAACCACTCTGAGTCAAGGAACCGGCGGAATGGATAACGCTTCAGCTGAGCAGAGTGAAACGACGAAAAAGGCCCCACCAACATTGCTGGCTGGCAATGAGTCCACAGCGGCCAAAGCTACAGACAACAACGCCTCAGCAGGCACTCCTCCAAAAGAATCACCGGAGTCTGTGAAAACAGACTCCATCACCGTAATTGCGTCCTCTGCTGACATACCACCAAAAGACCCTGCCGTTAATGACACCATAAAAGCACCTAGCGGTAAAACATCGGGCGATCCGGCCCCCTCGCAAGTTCCTCCTGCACAGGCGTCCTCGAATTGCTCGACGGCAGCCCCCGCCACCACCGCCGCCCCCGCCGCGCCGCTCAAAACGGACAAACCCGCCACCGCCGAGTCCAAAGTGACCGACCCCGGTCTGAAAAACCCAAACACGCCCAGCCCGCTCGCGGTGCAGAGCACCGAGTCCGACCCGCCGCAGACCACCGACCAGAGGTCAGACGGCGACGTCAGCTACTACGGGGACGACGAGGACACGTACATGAGCAACGACGACATCGACGGCAAGCCCGAGAGAACGGACGAGGGCTTCGACCAAGTGGAGGACAAGCAGCGCGTGGAGGAGATGGAGGTGACCCGGTACAAGGGAGCGGACGTCTACAACTCGGAGGACGAGGACTCGCATTTCTTCTTCCACTTGATCATCCTGGCCTTCCTGGTTGCCATTGTCTATATCACATATCACAACAAGAGGAAGGTGAGTGCTGGCGAGACAACGGCTGAGCCTCTACGGTTCAATTATAATCTGTGGAATGTAGCTGAGCTGGTTGGAAAAACTGAAGATTGTAATCGTGCTGTCAGTGTGAAGGAGAGAAAGGCTAGATTATTGTGTTCGAGAATATGAAAGAAAAGCCCTACTAATAAGATTTGTATTCTCTTGATGTAAACCCTAAGAGCTCCTCAAATGACTCATAATGTGCTGTGATCATACCTGGTTTTGTAGAAGTGAATCTCTTCTGTCAGGCCTGTAGAAAAAAGGCTTTATGTTTCACATTACAGACCCACATATCTGATTATGCAGTCTTCTCATCTTCCTTGACAGTCTGTCCACCGAGTAATAATCTTTCTACATCAAGCAGATCAGTCGAATTCCCGTCTACATTTCGCCCACCCACTAAATTCTCGTCCTTTCTGACCCCCTCCCCATTCCAGATCCTCCTGCTGGTACAGAGCAAGCGGTGGAAGGACGGTTTATGCTCTCACAACACCGTGGAGTATCACCGCCTGGACCAGAACGTCCACGAGGCCATGCCGTCCCTGAAGATGACCCGAGACTACATTTTCTGATCCACCTTTTGAGGACCCGCACACAGTGCCAGCCGCTGTCGAAGCTTTTTCCTGCTTAGCCGAGCAACTGGAAATAGATACGCTGTCTTTGGAATAGAATCCTGTTTATTTGGACTTTGTATGCTATTTGCAAAAAAGATTTATCCATCACTCTTCTTTGTTGTATAATTTTACGATGAATTTTTTTTTTTTTTTAATTGAAACCTTCCTGGGATGTGATATTTTTGATTTTTCAGATGTGTGTTTGTCTCATTTGAAGGATTTCTGCCTTATGGTCCACGAGTCACCTTAGTTTTTTTTCCCTTTTAGAATGTCTTAACTCTCTGGATCACTGTCTAAAGGCCGAGAGAAATACACATTACTGTTCCAGTACAGTTCCGTGTCATTCCCAATAATTGTAACATTCTAACATTTGTCTCAGAATGCAAAGCAGACTCCAACACGCTGTCTGTGCCCGACATACCTCCAGTTGTTTGAACTGAAGCTAAAAACTGCACACATATATGTAAATACACACTTGTGGAAATGCTCAACAGCTTTTCCTTGAAATTACATTTGAGATGGAAATAGAATGTTTCCGAAAACCAGGAAACGCCGACAAGTAATATCTAAACACACCTTCTTTAGAACTTTGATTTAGAATGTAGGACTTACACAGTGCGTTGGGCTATTTTATTTTATTTTATTTTTGAGATATTTGGACACTACCTAACGTTTCTGATTATGCCTTTGAAGAAAAGCACGCCTGGCCTTTTTTTATTTTAGCGTTTGAAACTGATGCCAATGAAGTGTTGGCAAATGAAGCAACACAAAGCATTAAGTCTGGTGGGACTAATCCTTATCTTCAGGTGATGGTTAATCTCAATGATGAAGCCATTTAAGTGCAGATGGAGGCTGTATATTGTTCAGGGTAGAATGTACTCATAGAATATATGCGAGAAGCATTTCTTGCCAGATTTGATTTTTTTTTCTGTTGTTGAAATGTTATTCACTTTATATTTAACTTAAAAGGTACCTTTTCATCTGCTGCCCTGATTTTGCTATGCAGAAATCCTGCGGCTGGTCTTCTTTGCTTTATGACTTCGATGAAGTCTCTGTCAACACATAATCTAACTGCCTTTCCTAATTCTCACACAGAACTTTTAATTATGTTTACCTTTTGTCTCTGTAAGTTGGTGAACTCCTTGCCCCTTCTCATTAAGCATTTTATATCCTCCCTTGAATCTATTTTCCACAAGAAAAGAAGAAATTCCATCTAATTTTCTCCCCCCTCTCCTTGTTTCTGCTCAACCCAGCCACAGGTCTGTTGCCATGACACGCCTTATATCCGCATAATGTCAGGTGTCCTTCGCCTCCGCTCTGTTTGACGTTTTCAGGTGTCATGTTTGCATACGAGCCCTCCAACGAGCAGGAAGGTTTTGCACCGTGGTGCTCAGTCACGCTCACAAGAATACGAGGGGGGGAAAACCCCTGACGATCAACCCTGCTCTCGCAATCAAATAGAAACTGTACAATCTTTTTTTTTTTTGTCAATAAAGCACACATTCTTTAAATCCTCCCTTTGTAATTGAATTATTCCCACCGGTAACGGTGTAAACACACCTATAACGGATCAATTTAACAGTTCTCCCTGTGGTTAATCTGCCCAGCTTCCCCGTGCGTCGTAATAGGCTTAGAGGTTATGTTAATATCGCTGTAGCCTTCACACAGTGGGATGAAATTAGGTTAAACACAACTTCTTGAGGACTAAGCATGCTCAGATGATTACAGTTTGGAACAAATTTTAATAGTAAAATTAAGAATTGTTTAATCAGAAATAATTTTCTAACATAGAGAAAGGCATTTTCTTTTTTGTTTGTCATCAATGTAACAACAGCTGCTAGTAACAAAGTGGCCACCAGGAGGCAGTACGTCCCCACAAATAAGTGTGTTCCCCTGGTCGAGGTGTTGATGGGGCAGGGCAAAAAGCCAGTGTGTGCATTTATCTTTACTTTCCAACAGCTGGTTTTGCCACTTCACACCTCTCAGTGGGATAAAGGGAACATCTCAGCAGAATGAGGGAAACAGAATCGTCTGATGAAAACCATACTAGTCCCAATGACTCAGAAGCTTATTGATTCACCAAAACATTTGTGTTTTGGGTAGTTTTTGAGACTCTGATATAACTGAAAGTCCACCAGTTTCCCAAACTGTCTACATAAATACTACGAGGAAGTTTCAATGTGTTATGGCTTTCTTTAAAACAAGTAAAGGTGATAGGCAAAAGGAACATCCAAAGTTAGTTATGATGAATGACCACCACAATCGGTTCTCAGGCAGGATTGGTTCTAATGTACTTTAGGCCTTGGACATCCACTAATCCTGTATTGATTCATTCAACTATAGCACAACAAAAAGAATAATGTGCTCCAAGAAAATGCTCATCAGCTTAAACAACTTGTGTGTTGTCTATAAAACTTTCAATAAATGCATTTTTGCTGCAGTTGCAGTTATTGTGGAAGATGCAGTTTGGACAGCGTTTTCAAGGGGGACTCATCTAATGTGAGGATATACAGTATTACATTACATGAAAGCACATGAAGATATAAGAATGTTTCTTATAAATACAAGGCTTACAGTTCCAGAAATCCTTTTACCATCTACACACTAAACAATAGTATCAAAGGAATGCTCATATTTATGTGTTCCTCAGATGTAAATAAAGAGAACAGAACTCTCATAAATTATTTAGTGTTCAAACATGTGTGGTTAAAATGAACTAATTTACAGTCTTCAGGCAGCTGTTGTGAGTTTGTTGTTAAGAATGTATCTGTATGCTGGTTCAGTTTAGCTGTCAAGACATCCTTATTCACAGGCAGTAAATATGACCAAACCATGATACGGTCACCTCCATGTTGACTGTGGAGGGATGTTTTTAAAGAGGTCCAAAGTCTTGAAGTCACACCTGATCTTCATCCCAAAGTTTTGAAAATTCTTAAGGTTAATCATTGTGTGTTTGAGTGAGTATTTGTGAGACTTTCATACTGTTTCAGATCATCAACACACAATACTCCAAACGGTTCATAAACCTTTACTACAGTTGTGACGGGAATCACAGTCAACCTCAGTTTATGTATGTAATACCTAAATATCTTAAAAAGGAAAAAATCCTTTTAAGACCGAAGGTTTAAACTAATTAATGTTTCGTTTCTTTTGTCTTATACCGATGGAATGATTAAAAATCTACTCTCTACACTAACAGCTGTGATATAACCTCATCTTATTCTTTAATGGTTAAAAAAATATCTAAATCTTACTACTTCTGTGAAAGTTTCCATCAGTAATATTGATTAATTTGGCATTTATGGTTATCCCACTTTTTATGAACCCATTCCAATAGGCATCACGCCCCTTTTTTCCTACTTTACTGAAATGTCGATATATATCGAGCAGCAGGAGACCTGGAAGTCTATCGGATAAAACCATCAGGTTTGAGACCAGACCTTATATATAAATATACTTATATGTGTGTGTGTTTGAGAAAATAGGGGATTTTTTAAATTAAAAGGCAATTACTGAGTATCTCTCATTAGCTCAAATATAAATGCCCTTGACCTGCACTGATTAAGCATGTGATGGCATATGGTATACAGCTGCCAGCCTCCAGCTGTGTGTGATTGTGTGTATGTGTTTGCCGGGTGGATTTAATAAACCCATTCTCCTCTGACTTTATAGAATAGAGTACGTTTGAAACTGTTACACTTTCAAATCTCTGTTTTTTTACCTGAGGGATTCCAGTATATGTTTTAAGAACTGTTGGGAAATGGAAAATTTGACTTAATGTTCCTGGTTCGCAAACAAAGGCGAAGCTCTCAATTTATCGGTCGATCTACGTTCCCACCCTCGTCTATGGTCACGAGCTTTGGGTAGTGACCGAAAGAACGAGATCGCGGATACAAGCGTCCGAAATGAGTTTCCTCCGCAGGGTGGCTGGGCTCTCCCTTAGAGATAGGGTGAGAAGCTCGGCCATCCGGGAGGGGCTCGGAGTAGAGTTGAGGTGGCTCGGGCATCTGATCAGGATGCCTCCTGGTCGCCTCCCTGGGGAGGTGTTCCGGGCTCGTCCCACCGGGAGAAGGCCCAGAGGAAGACCCAGGACCCGCTGGAGGGACTATGTGTCCCGGCTGGCCTGGGAACGCCTCGGGATCCCCCCGGAGGAGCTGGCCGAAGTGGCCGGGGAGAGGGAAGTCTGGATTTCCCTGCTCCGGCTGCTGCCCCCGCGACCCGACCCCGGATAAGCGGAGGAGAATGGATGGATGGATGGATGGATGTTCCTGGTTAGGGTAAATGGTGTCATTCAGGAAATTTCAGAAAATACAAATACAAGAAAAAGAAAAGAAAAAAAAGTAAGAAAAGAGAATACAATTTTGACGCAATTGGAAAATCTTTTGAACTGCCCCCCGGGCTGATGAAACTAAATTATGCAAAATAAAACAACTCGAGGAGTGAATAAAAACAAGTTGCTCTTTGGATATAATATATTTAAAAAAGGGTTCAGAGTGCTCCCTCTCAGTTTAAATTGAAAAGAACACATCTGCTCCCACAGCTGAAGGCACAATTTCACCCGAGTAGAAAATGCAGCTGAGGCTTCACTGAGTGATGATCTGCAGGTGCACCTGGAGGTCTTTTCTAAAGAAACAAACAAAAGAAAAAAACAAACCCCAGCCACAATCAAAATGCAAGCTGGATAGATAATGTCAAGGACTGAGGGAAAAAGGTGAGAAAAAAAGGAAGAAGCAACGAAAAATCCCCCCTTTCCTTAGATCCTCCTTCAGCATTGATGAAAAATATGCTCAAAATGAGGATTGTGGTAAAAGTGTGTGACCCTGCAAACCATTGTATTCCAAATATTGAACTATATTAATATATGTGCCTAAAAGTTTGCTTTCCTCAAAGAAGAGAGACGGTCTGGAAGTCCCACCGGACTGAAACGTGTCTGCTCAAACTTCAAAAACAGCCGGAGA